ATAATATCTGCAACTTCGTATATTATGTATTTATCATATCTGCGAGTTCGTTTATTATATATTTATAATATCTGCGAGTTCGTTTATTATGTATTTATAATATCTGCAACTTCGTATATTATGTATTTATCATATCTGCGAGTTCGTATATTATATATTTATAATATCTGCGAGTTCGTATATTATGTATTTATAATATCTGCGAGTTCGTTTATTATGTATTTATAATATCTACAAGTTCGTTTATTATGTATTTATAATATCTGCGAGTTCGTTTCTTATGTATTTATAATATTAGCGAATTCGTTTATTATGTATTTATTACATCTCCGAGTTCGTTTTCTGGAGAGCGTATTTAGTTCTCGTTCGTAGAGAAACAGTCACACCCTCGTGCTTTGTTTTTAGTAATATTGATCCTACATACTAGAAAATTCTGCTTGTCTAATATTCTGAATAATATACTGGAATCCAAACAAGTTTGAAGTATTCTTCGTACGCTCTCACGAACTTGCACAAGCACGCGTACGCGCATAAGCATGCGGGCATGAAGGTACGACCCCCCCCCCCCTGCCCCAGACGCACGTTATGCCATGCTGTCCTCTGAAGAACATCATCTCATGCACAGAGATTACGTGGCAGTGACGAAGCGGCGATGTAACTAAATGTATTATAGCATATCTATATAGGGCAGTCTAGGGCAGTCAACTGCACATGTCATGTAGTAATATGCCATGACATAGCGCCACCTATTGTCTGATTTAAATTTTATTAGTGTTACGTCATCCGGGGCCCCTTATCAGCAGTAATGAGAGACATTGGGATTTATTTCTCATATCATTATCTCAGTATTTGCTCTGCATTTTAAAAGTACAGTTTCAACAAAATTTTAACTCAAACCGGATCTACGGACTATTAAACACGGATGCGATGACCGACCACTGTCATTATACACAAAATTATACATGCCGAAGAAGCGGTCGTAATTCTATTATAAATATTATATAACCAACATAAACACATTTTTATCCGGTGAGAGTTGGAGGATATATTTAGTAACGTTAGTTCTTACTTTTAATGTAAAAAAATGGCAATTTAAAAAAAAAAAATGCAATTTACCATGGAAAATTCGCGACGTAGTCAATTTAAGGATGAATTCAATGTTTGGTTTAGTGTATCCAGCTGCTATCTATCAAGCTATCTACGCATGCATACACGAATACATACTTCTACATTTTAGATTTACATTTGACATTTTTTTTTAGATTTTTAGAATTGTTTATTTAGATGACGTAACGCATACACTACAAATAACATGCTCATAAACAAAATATGCAATTAGATATGATAGAACTTAATATATGCAAGATGATGAATAAATGCATAAAGACTACGTACGACGAGCACATTAAACGGAGGATCTCGACCCTCTACAGGGAGACCCCGGCCGCCTCCTTCCCTTCCCCCTCCCCATCCCACAGCACTCCTCCTGTTTTACAGATATATCTGGATCAGGTGTGCTAGGTAACCGGTTCCGCGTACAGAACGACAAGCTAGGGTCACTGTCCGAGTCACGGTCCACGTGTGCTACCGTCGCTGCCGCCTTGCTACGTACGGACCAACGGGCGCGTAGAGAGAGAGAGAGAGAGAGAGAGAGAGAGAGAGAGAGAGAGAGA